GCGGAAGAGCCGACGACCGGCGTAGCGTGGTCGGTTCAACGGGGCGGAAAGAGGGGGATGCGAACGGTAAGAGCTTCACCGGCAACACCGGTCTCCCGTTTGAATCTCCTCCGCTCGCTTCCGCACCCCCTTTCCCTCCCGCCCCCTCTCGTCTAGCTCGACCACCCTCGCGATTCTATCGATACCCGGTCGGCCGATCAGCGGCGTCGGCCGATTAGTGCGAGGGGCGCCGACTGACATCCCGACGCAGGGCACAGGTCAATGCTCAGAGCCGCGTTTAAACAGGGAGAATTTCGAGCGAGCCGACGGGATGGTATCGATAATACCTCGCTCGTATCAAATCGACGCGGCCGAACTCGATGAAATGAAATTACTCCCCCTCCTCCCCCTTCTCTTTCCGCCCTCTCGAGGTCTCGGACGCTCGCGATGCGACTCGAGGGCGTTTGAAAAATACGGGGCTTGCGCCTGCGATCGGCGTCTGGCCCCGATAAAAGACGAGTCGAGTGGTGAGGGAGTATCGTAACTTTATTCGTAAATTATTCCACACGTTTCGTTTCCACCGTACCTCTCGCTTCTCCCCTCCCCCGGGTTCGAGGAATTTTGAATTCAACCGTTGTTTAATTCGCGATAAACTGGAAAAGCGCGCGATTTGTGCCCATAAAAAAAAAAGCGATAAAACTCGGATGATGGACAATTTTTCATCGACGTTCCCTTTCTTTCGCGAAACGTTTCCCCGCACAGTGGAAAAAATTTTGTGTTAAACATGTTTCACATGTTCCAATTTATCCACTCTAATTTTAATGTTAATTTAACAGAGGGCAAGTATGTAAATAAATAACACAAGTAATATGTTTAAAAATTAACACAAAAGTGTAATTAATATATTTATAATGTTAAAAATTATAAATATCTTAATGTCGCTAGTTAAATAATCAAAGGATCATTGAAAAAAATGTAGTCGACCAAACTAGCCAGAAAATTTGTTTATTAATACGACGTTTCGACGTATAATGGTGGTACACTTTAATTCGTTGAGCGTACGTATATATTCAATTAATTAATTAATTAATTTATAAATCTTTTCCAGTATATACTTGATAAGGACCACAACCATATGGTCGAAACGTCGTATTAATAAACAAATTTTCTGGCTAGTTTGGTCGACTACATTTTTTTCAATGATCCTTTTATAATGTTAAATTTAATTAAAAGAAAATGTTATTCTTACATTTTTATGATAAATGATAGAAAAAATATGTCGATTTAACATATGAAAACTGTTATAGAGAGAAAAATAACACAACTTATCTGTTCATTTTAACATATAATTATATAATAATTATATAATATTTTATAAAGAATTCGTACATTTACATATTAATTGTGTTGTTTTAACTCTTAGAAACGGTGAATAATAACTCAACGCAGAAATGTCAAAATAACGCAAGGATAATATATTACATTAACATAAGAGTATGTTAAAAATTTAACACAAAAATTTTTACACGAGAAAATTTTAACAGAAATACAAAATGTTTTTTATCGTGCGATAGAAATCTACTCGTGCGTAGGCGGGGTATTTTTAAGACAACGCGTCGATTCACAAACTGGACGTTGCAATTTCGAGATAAATGAAAGGAGAAACGTCCGATTGACGCGAGAGAGAGAAAGAGAGAGAAAAAAAATCATGTAAAATCTTTCGCGGACGATACAGTCGATTCTATCACCTATCGCGTATCGAATTTTTCTCGTTCAGGCAAATGCGTAGGCGTGACAATCTCTCAAAGTATCAAAAGGGAAGATTGCGAACCCCTGCGGACACGTGCGTACACCGACCATTCTCTATGCGCCGTCTATTTCTACATGCGCTTAAAGGGCAGAATCGCCTACGAGGGTGGAAAGTAAAAAGGGTACTAAAACGCGGAATTCTAAGAACTCGGTGGTTCAAAGAGACCTTTTGCTTGAACGGAAAGCAAAGTAGTCTCTGTTGGTTTTTGGGACAATGAATATAAGAAGAATTGTTTGTTGTGAGGACCTGCTCTTTAAATAGTTCCAGCGAAGATAAAGAGACGGCCATCTTTCCTAGAACGTGTTTTTACTCGAATTCGTTTGCTCGTCTCTTTGTATTAAAAAAAAAAATAGGCTTTTTTATAATACTTTAACGTTAATAACTTTTACGCGAAATTTTTGCAAATGGAGAATTTACATGTATAACGATGTAGCGCGTTACGTGCTCTTGAAGCGTAAATTAATTCTACATAAATCTCTGATTGCGTGATCCTACGTTTTTTTTCAGCGTAAACGTGAAATAGGTTGCTTGATAGTGCGCCGCTGTCGCTTTTTGTCGTTAAAGAGAAAATTAAGAAGTTGCGAGAGTTAACGTTGTTGCTTCATTATACGCTCTACTCGCCTATTATCTTCTTGCTTGCAAAAAAAAAAGAAGAGAGAAAATGCTTTTCGCACAAATTTTTCGTCCGACATGCGTTAAAGGGAATTCTTCGGGAGCAGATAAGGAGACCAAGGATTTACAGAGAGCAGCGACGCTACGAATCGTAATTACTCGCGGAATATCGCAGCACAAAGGAGCACAAAAATAATTCCAACTCGGAGTCAAAACGATAAGCGAGTAATTGAATTAGCAAAAGGACGAAATCTTAATACGAGAGATACTCTTGCACGTTTTTTACATTCGTAAATACGTAAAATGTATCGCGGAAAAATGTGGAATCCTGTATAAAAACGGACTACAAACTTTTTTATTCGTCAATTAATAAATTATAAGATCGATTCTCGCGATAGATTGAATATTTCAATTTTCCGGATATTATTTAACACCTTACATTATTCACACGCATATCTCGCGGGCGAATATTATTATACAAATTAATATTTACTCGCACGTCCGTTGTTCTTCTCACATCATCCATCTCTTGGGCTTCTATTTATTTCTCTCCTTCTATATACGAGTTATTTCCTCGAGGTCCCGGGGAAAGAAAGCTCGTTACGCACACATGCGAATCTTTTTTCACTAAGTAAAAGCAACGGAAAAAGGAGCCGACGCACAGTGGATCGAACTACGTAAAAATGCGGACATAAGCTCAAAAAAATTTTTTTTTTATATCCAGTTTTTAATTGCAAATTTGATTACTTCAAATATCATAGAAATTGTATATAATCCTAATTTTGAAATATATTGTTACAATCGGTGCGTAAAATGACTTGGAATATTACGAGTTTGATGATTCTGTGTTTCCATCAATTTAGTTGTCTACTTTCAAGGCAGTATAGTTTTTTCTCTTACTATATTAATATACTAATTTTTATACATGAAATGGACTATTCTTTTACTTGAAGAAAGTCTATATCTGAATAAAAAGATAATATAATTTAAGGTTTGATAATCAATTTTATTATGTTTCGAAGAAAATTCCGATAACTAAATTGTAAAATAACTTTTAAAAAAAATCTTATAATATCTTAAACTTTGACTTGTCAGATTTGATTAAAGGAGTGTTCTACTTCATGAAATGACACGTTTTAGCTGCTCCTATCTGCTACCTTGAGAGATATATTGCAAAAAGAGAGAGGGCACCTCGAGAAAATCTAAAAAGAAAAAAAAATGTAACAGATGCGGATGATACTATTGACTACTTTTGTTCTTATTAAATTAATGAATGACATGACGTTGTGTGAACATTCAAATCCATCAACTTCATATTAAAATCAATGAACTTAGTATTGTCGATGTCGTCTTATAAAAATCGAATTCGTTCATGAAAATCCAGAAATTAAAAAAAAAACAAACGAAAGAATACAAAAAGAAACAACAAAACTATTACTCACAAAATGTGATAATATTGTTGTAAATTACGAAATGTTGTTCACCATGGTTGATTGGTAAAATGTGTGTAGCTTTATAAGATACAAGTATTATCTTGTTCCACATGTTATCTTTGAGGAAAAATCTTCTGAGATGAATATGATATCAACAAAGTACTTCATAAGAATATTGATGTCAATGCATATAATTACGGAATATCTTCACGGGAGTCTTCGCGCAAGACCGTGCAATCTTCTCGCGTAATATATTGGTTACCAGTAATGTTGGCGCGGTATTTATATAAATGTTTAAAAATCGTTGTTTAATTCAATATTGCATCCAACAATTATTTAAATTGGTTAGATATACCCTTCGTAATTGTGTGTGCATAATTATTTCGATCTAGCTGTTATATTTAATTGTCATATCATTCTTACAAGTGTGATGTCCGCTCTTTCCCGTTTCAACCCTGTGCAACGTCGAAATTGGACGAAATTGCATCGAATTTAATCGCGAACGAGTCGAGATCGCTCTCGTAAACTGCCCTCTCGCGCAGGAAAGCCCCTCCTGGAAGGCACGCTCATCATTTAAAGCACATCGCGGGGACGTCGTCGGCGAGAAATGCCGCGCCGGCAACGAAAATCGAGTCGTATCGCCGTCGTTCTCGTCACGTCGTCGGCGTGCTTGGTCGTCGGAGATCAGTGATTTCTGGCGCGGGCGCGCGCGCGCGCGAGGGTGGCAAATCGAATCCCCGAGAACGTTCGCGCGATCAGAAGAAGATGGAAAAGCGAGGAAAAGTCGAAGGGCCGCGCTCGCCCGAGGGTATCGGGACGCGAGGAGAGATATAGAGAAAGCCAAACGAAGGGGGTGCGGACGGACGGGGGGAGAGGGGGGGGTTGGAGGGCTCGGGCGACGTGCGAGCGTAGTAAAGCGCGCGAGGAAGGGAGGGGGGGGATACTCGGACGTAAAGGGGACGTGAACGGAGAGGGTTGTGAATCGGCGCTTGCGCGATACCGCTTCTATCTACTTGTCAGCCAAGCGAAGCTGCCACCACCCCCGGTCTATCTCTTTTTCTCCCTCTTTCTCCCCCTTTCTCTCTCTCTCTCTCTCGCTCGCTCGCGCGCGCGCGGCGCCGCGTTACTCGATAACAAACTCTACAGTACCAGTACTGGCACGGTACTCCGGACCACCGGATCGCCCTCTTCGCCGTCGCCACGGTGGCACCATCGGTAACGCAGACGTGACGAGCGAAAATCGCGATCCACGCGGCGCGGATTTCGCGTAGATTCGATTAACCCGCTCGACAATCTTGGGACCTGCACCCTAGCGCGGTTTTTTTTTACGTTACCGATAAATCTCCCCCGGCTTCTCCTCTCGGGAGGATCCTCGTGAGATGCGTCTTCCCTTCTCTGCTTCCGTTCTCGTGCGTGCGTCATTGATCGCGATCGCAGGAACGCGAGGTCCAAGCGAAAGTCTCATCTTCCCTCCTCCCCTCCCTCCTCGTCGATCTCCCGCATCTGCGATTTAGATGTATTCGTTTGCAAAAATTGGTATGGTTAATCCATGGTTAATCTAGAGGTAAAAGTGAGTGTCGCAAGTTGATCGAATGTTTGACGAATTTGTAATCGCGATGAAAGTTGCATCTTACTTGGCTACCCGATCGACGTGGACGAAACTTGGAAGAGCGGGACGTGGATAGGATCCAGGATAAATTTCATGCAAGCTAGTTTCGCCGATGTCGATTAACGCAAAGCTGTGATTGACCGAGGGTTGCAGCGTCGCTCAGGGCACTGACATCGATTAAATCAATCTCCTCTCTATCCATGCTCATATCGTAGGTAGAACTATAATCTACAAAGAGATAGCCAATCATCGACCCGGGTCCGCTCAACCTATCGTGATTGATACAACACCAACCCCCTATCCACGGATTACGGAGAGAGAGAGAGAGATGAGCGACAGGAGGATTAGCGCACTCGAGGAATATTTCCGTTTTACAGCCACTCGAAATTATACCCTCCGACATGGCGTGCAGTGTGCGCGATCTACAGAGAGACCCAATCGAGAGCGGATCGATTGGAGCCACGCTCCAGCGTTTAATCGACGAGCCGGGCTTTGTTCGCCCTCAAAAAAGACGATCATCCGTCCACCTTGCCGTTCTCTTTGTACACCGCTGGTTATGGTGTATAACTTGTTGCTGCCGGGCAAACGAACGGTGCAGTGAGCGCGGATTGCATTTCAGATCCTCGACCGTCGATGGCAGATTGCCATGTTCGCTTTTGGAGATCCCCTTTTTTCACCAATCGCTTTCTCCGCCTCTCGGGACGGCGATAAAAACGATCCGGCCGTCGACGCGCGTTTGTTACTCGGAAGCGAGGAGGATGGGGGAGAGACGGAGAAAGGATAGAGCAGAAATATCGCTTGGAGGATATACGGGATTCTATTCCCGACCAACCTTCCTCGTTATTTGCGGCTTAGGACGGCTACAGAACAAACACAGTCGACGCGACCTATCCCTCCCGATATTTGCCGCCGCGATTATCCCGCTTCCTCGCGCCAATTCTCGCCTGATTTCGACCTCCCTCGACCTTTTGAGCGAGCTCAATCGCCGGCGGATATCGGACAAATTGAAAAGTTCGGAATCATCCTCTCGGATCTCGGAACCTTGATCTTTCCCCGCGAGAGATCGAATCGATTGCGGGATATCATCCGCGGATTGAGATCTGCTACTCTGGAAATAAAGCTCTTCTTGAACTTCGGATCATTTCTACTCGAGCTGTTTAGGCCTCGATCGTGACTATCGATGCGTGATGAGGAAGTTTAGTTGAAAACAACAACAAAGAAAAATAGTCCCTTATGTACTCGGTTAATTAAGCTTAACCCGAGTTCCTCGCCTTTCAGGAACTTTAGAAAGACAGGAAGGATCGCTTAAATCCTCGTTAAATCCGACTAACATCATATTTTAATAATCCACAACGAAATACTTCGATAAAGATTGTCATCTCGCGGCGACTCCAATTTTGCACGCGTATCTTAGCGGCTCGTCTCGAGTTTCCCTTTCTCTTTCTCACGCAGGGAGAATTCAATTCTGCAGGGCGAGGTGACAAATTGAATTTTTCTCAGTTGTTCTCTACCAGGGAGGACTGAAGTCCGTGTTTATGAAGGGTTTTATTTATTAAAAAGACGGAACCTCGCGCGAAGGCGCGCGCATCTTGCACTCTCGAGATTAGAGCTCGAATTTTAGGGTAAGTTCGTGGTAAATTGGCCACAGTAAACGGGACGGAAGCTCCTTGCGGTCCCGCCAGTCCTCTCGAATCCGAGAAGCGATCGGTATTAACCAATTATCGTGTTAGTCCGAGTCGAGATCCGGACTTTCCGACGCGTTCCTGTCAATAGATTGGCAAAACGTGAGGTACCGAATGCTTCGCCGCGAGGATTAAGTAGTTACAGATCGTTCACGGTCGGACCGTGACCGCCGTTTTCCGCTGCTTAAAATTCTACCGTCGAGCGGACACAGATTTCTTGATGAAGTTTGATAAAGTGAAGAAATTAGTAGTTGAGTAGTTACTGATCAACAGCGAGATTTAATTCATACTTGCTCCCTTTGGTTTCAGATCTTAAAAGTTTATTGCTTGAAAGGCAAACGTGTAAGAGAGCTTACTTGAAATTTTACTGTAAATATTTTTCACGAGAATTTGGATTATTTGAGATTCTCCTATTTTCTCCTAGTTCGCAGCAAATGAGAACTAAATAAGACCCTCCTTCCGTCGAGTTTCGATTGTTCTGTGGATTGAAGCTGCACTTCCAACTCTCCAAGTTTCGCCGGTAATAAACGAATCGTCCCTTTTTAATGGCGATTACGTCATGAAATTAAGAAAAATAAGTATTCGGCTGTTATTTTAAATAAATCTCATTCCTAACTTTACAACATTGCAAACTTTTGTTGGCCGCTTCTTGTGCATCCCGGCGCGAACTGCGCGAGTTAAATAGTTAGAAATTACTCACGCTCGATTATAACCCGTATTTCTTCCGTCCCGTCGTCGATTTGCGAACGTCGTTTATTGCGAATGAATTTCGGGGAACAATAAAATCTCAAACAGCCAATCCCTTAGGCGAATGAAACTAATTTTTCTATCGTTTAGAGCGGCTGTGCCGTGAATTTCCGTTAAAGCTGCGCGCTCCAGAAAAAAGGTATGAGAAAAAGTGAATAGTTAAAGATGAAATTAAGTCAGCCCAAGTTACTTCGTCGATACTTTTCCTAACTTCGTGATTTTTCTCATTATCTCTCTTCTTCCCGCATACATGCATTTAAAAAATAATTATAATTATTGCTTTATTATTAATACGATTTAATTATTTACAAATTATTGCAAAAACATATTCAAACATTAATTTTAATTATCAAATAAAACTTATATCTTATAACTTATAAAGAAAAAATCACCTTCGCATTTTCACAATAATCCTATGATGTAATTTATAAAAAAATTAAAAAATTATATCAATTACCGCGTTTAGGGTTTTATTAGTCTCTTTTTATTTTAGGGTTTTATTAGTCTCTTTTTGTTAGCATTTATTGATTGATATCACTCAAACCTCTTATTTAATGTTTTAAAAATTAAAAAAAATTGTATTTTGTTCTCATTATTATATTTGCACAATTTTTATTACATGTTTGTGGATATTATAAAAATTTTTAATTTACGGAAGTTAAAATTATTGACATCGTTTTTATTTTTATAAATGTAAGAATGCTTTGCAACTTTTTATCGAGAGAAATGTGATAAAGTGTTTATTCGAAAGTAGTCTTTTAATTTCCAAAAAATGAAGAGATATGAGAATTACGTGTCCCTTCGGTCGATTTAATTCGCATTCTTCCTGCTGAGACCTGCCGCTGATTTGTGACGCTTTTCCAACCGCAGCGGACATTCCGAAAAGCTATGAGAACTCGGGAATTACGAACCTCTTCGAGTGAGAAAATCTAATGCGTATATATCCTTCAACATCTTGGAAGCGGGGATTCTTTCTAATCGACGTCTTGCTGGAGATACTTGAAAATTTTTGCAATTTTTTTCGATTCTTCGAAACGTAATTAACGAAGTTAAAAAGTACAAAACCAATCAATATTCTCCCTTAAATTAATCTTTAAATCCCTTTATATTCGATTTTTACAAATTCTGATATCAAACGTGCGGGAAACGTAAATAAAAACCATAGATAAATAATTTCAAAGCTATCATAAAGATACAATTTGCCTCTTCTTCCTTTATTCTCGTCGCATATCTCATGTATATACAGAAATTTTCGAAAGTTGAAGAAGAAGTTGCGACATTATTCTAATTTAAGCAGATTCTCTTTACATCTCTCTCTCGTTAACTAATTATTCGCTGTTTTAGGCGTGTCTCCCGAACATTTTCTCAGCCTCCAACTCTTGTGAAACTACTTTTATTGCTTGTCAGACAGAAACTTGTCGCACAATGTCGTCGGAAGAGCCCAACTTCCTTTCGTAAAGACGATCATTCAAGAACCGGCTCTCTCATTCACGCTTTATTTGTTCCGCCCCGAAAATCATCGGACCGACCACTTAATTTTCCTCCAAAACGATGTGGGCAATTTCCAGAAGGGTCATTAACACGTCTTTCTTCCTTTGTGCTCGTTATCGATACAAGGGAATTACGCTTTTCTCGTCATAACCGTTTCTCCAACACGAGGCTCCTTTAAATCCATTAAAGCAGACAGACTTGAGAACGCATATGGAACCCCATTAGAAACTTCCAGCTTAACGATTTTCGAAGATCCGAGAATCGTCATCGTCATATTTTCCCCCCAGCTCCTTTCCTCCCTCTCATCTTCTCCACTTCCCTCTCTTTCGTTCCGATATCGAAAGAACGACAGAGGGAAAAGAGAGAGAGAGAAACGAACGGCGACTAATTGGAAAGCCGACCGCGGAGATTAAAGATTTCCCGGACCCGCCCTTTTCTCTCGCAGGGGCGCTTAACTGAAATTACGTCAACTGGCGAGTGCGGTTGTACATTATCGACCGACGTAATTGGGTATTCGTTAGAAATAAATGGCCGCTAATGCGATTTCCGGCAGGTATCTCTCTTCTCCCTCTCTTTCTCTATCTTTGTATCCACCCATCTATCTATCTGTGCATCTACCTATCCAATGTACATCATGTCCAAATCGTCGCTGGCTGAGACAATAAAGATATTATAAATCCAACAGCGCACGCACGCGGCCCTTCCTCTCCCACAGCAATGATTGAACGGTTTAATCACTTGCTACGCCGGCGAGATCCAGCAAGGCACGACTGAAAACCATCGTCGCGGAAACATCGAGCACGTCGTCGTGTTTATGGCAAACCCATCACCTCGTTATGTCTCAGTGCCGTTAACGTCGTAGACAGTCTTGTGATAAATTTCCAGCACCTACAACAAAATAAGTTGCGCCGTGGATCATCAGGTAGGTCTCCCTTCTCGTTTCGTAAGACTTACAACACGGGAGATACCAGTGTATATCTAACAAACCTTGAAATATACAGGGTGTTCGAAAAGTCCCGACCCGGTCGAATATTTTATAAACTATGCACTTTAGAAAGAAATGTTTCAGACAAAAGTTGTATGGCTTAAAGCGGGCCATCAGATAGTGGCAATGATTTTGACCTTGGAGAGTCATTTGAAGATGACGTAAAAGTCAGTTCAATTTCTTAAATGGAACTCCCTATTTTTTATTACATATTCGTGTAGCTTATCTCGAGAGCTTTCCAAAGCACTATAATAAAGTATTTCTTCATTGAGTACTTTTCGAGTTATGAGGCTTGAAATCAGTTTTTAATTTTGCATAAACCATAAAATATCTAGTAAAATATTCATTTTTTTATTATCTTACCTTAATATTTTTATGTACAAAATAATGAGAGGAATCAATTGTGTAAAGAAAACACATAGTTGTTTTAGAAAAAAATATGTAATTGTCAATTTCAAATTACATATTTTTTTTCTTAAAAACAACTATGTTTTTTCTTTACACCAATTGATTCCTCTCATTATTTTGTGCATAAAAGTATTAAGATAAGATAATCGAAAAATGAATATTTTACAAGATATTTTACGGTTTATGTAAAATTAAGAAATGATTTCAAGCCTCATAACTCGAAAAGTACTCAATGAAGAAATACTTTATTATAGTGTTTTGGAAAGCTCTCGAGATAAGCTACACAAATATGTAATAAAAAATAGGGGGTTCTATTTAAGAAATTGACGGTGATCTTCACGTGACTTTCAAATGACTCTCCCATGTCAAATCATTATCATTATCTGATGGCCCCCTTCAAGCCATACAACTTTTGTCTGAAACATTTCTTTCTAAAGTGCATAGTTTATGAAAATATTCGACCGGTCCGGGACTTTTGGGACACCCTGTATACATGTGTGTATGCCCGACAGAATTAATATCATGTAGAAACAAACTAAAAATGTTCATGCGATAAGCGCACATGAATTATACGAGCTATTACTAGCTCGTAAAATTTTCAGATTTTGTCGAAATCGCCGTCGTCCACATTTTATATTCTCGATTCTGTCTCGCACGGTGATGAAAACAGTAGATTATCCCGTAGACGAGCGCGAGTGTTAATTGTCGTGTAATATTGTATAAATCTCGTGTATGATTTTACGCGGAATGCGCGACCGCATGCGATAAAATTTCCAATCACACCTGCGATTTAATGGCGGATTTGATTCGATTGTTGCCGATGTAACCGCCGAGACCCGGCGATACTTTCGGAGACCCATGTTGTAATGACAGTTGTGTAATTATGGGTTTGATATTATTTGAATGCCGATGCCGCGGGTAGGAGGGGGCAGCGGGATTGGTAATTGTTGTTTACAACGCCAGTCATTGTGGCAGCGATAACGGGGCTGCGGTGAACAGGTTGCACCGGGAATGGGAGATGACGGGTTTTATTAGTGACGCGGAAGGGGAACTGATCAAACGTCAATCGTCACGCGCGACTTGTTCAACGTCCAGTCTAAATTTCGTTCATTCCATATTTCGTCGCAAAAGTAAACACTCAATAATGTGAAACGCGCGATCCACGATTGTATCTTCGATTCAATGGACGCGATGTGATGATTTGACACAATTGCGAGCGTGATCATTTTTCGTGATTACATTGACACATTTAATATACCTCGTCGTCTTAATATTGTACTCTATAATTACCATTTTTATTAATTGCATCAATCGAAATGAATTTCGCCACCGTGTAAACAGTGACTTAAATCTGGTTTATATAGATAGCCTCGCTCAATTCATTTTGGCAAACAATGAAAGTACAATTGCCGCGCGATATAATTTTTGGATTATTTCGATGATGCGCCATTTAAATCTTTCGCGTGTTCCCTTCTCATTATGAATAGAAAATTACGCGTACACAGAAAGAAAGGACATTCTTGTTTTGAAAATATATTTCGTTTTAACATGGAAATCTTGATATGAGATTATATTAATTTAAGTTACGTTAATTAAAGAAAAATATAATTGCTTGAATAATTGCTTACTTGAATGAAGCCATTTTATATAGTTCAATTCGGGAAAAATATATTCTTATGATTTAAGATTTAATTTTCTTGAATGGAAAAAAAACAATGTTAGATAGAAAATAACATTTTTAAACAAATATAATTTTTTTAAAGTAGAATTAAATAATTATATATTCTTGAGATGATAATTACAATATTAAAATAAGACTATAATATTGTTGAAATTTAAAATTATTAAATTCTTCTAAGAAGATTATAAATTGTTGCGTATATACGAAACAATGAACGCGTTAGTTTAAGTATATAAGTTTTGATTTGACACTTTTTTTCTGTGTACAAGTTCGATTAGAACTAAATCGCGAACATATACGCACTGAGAAAAAAATCTGGTTGCATTAATTAAACTTCTGGTAAATTCAATCAGTATGTTTGTTGGAAAATGGACGAACCAGAATTCTTGTAAGAATTACCAGATAAATCTGATTAATTTCTTCCTGTTAAATTTATCAAATTTTCTGATTAATGATACTAAACTCGCCAGCACCAAGTCGTCAAAAATTTTTTCCATTTAATCTCAAAAGTCTGTTTAATATTTTGAATTCCAACACGATTATTGCATAAATTCAATCCAGATTATTAAATAAATTATTTTAAATTCAGTTTGTTAGAAATTAAACTGATAAACAGTGATGCAAGAAGAGGATGCAGCTCAATCACACACAATCAGAGAGCTAGGTCCTCTTTCTGGCATTACTGCTAAGAGAAAAAAATATACTTTGGATTTAATGTTAATACTAATTCTTTATATGCCTTTCATGGCAAATATTGAATACGAGTTAAGTTAAGAGTGGCTCGCAAAGAAATTAATGTAACAAGAAATTTTATAGATCTAATTTATTTATCTAACCAGATTTATCTAACTAGAAAATACTAACCAAATCCTTATAGTAAAGTCTATTAAACGTTCTAGTTATAAAAAATCGAGTCTTATCATGATAACTAGGAATTCTTGTTTGATTTAACCAAAATGCCTTCAATCATATAGTCTTGTTGGTAGAATCAAACAATTTTTCTCAGTGCGCGATTCCTCAATTCTCGTCAAGTTTAATATTTCAACACCGTGGAAACAAACAGTACTCTTTTAATTCCACTATCGTGTCCTCTCGCAGCTGCTCGCTTATGCATAAGGATCGTGTGTGTATCTTTGCGAGCAAACAGGATGCGATTGTCACTCGAAAGCCGATATATCGTCCGTTCGACATAAATGGATTAACGATCGAATCATTTATATTAAATTATATTTGACTTTCTGCCGATCCCGCCATGTCGCTACCGCCGCCAGTTAATAAATGATAACAGGATTGGGGTAGATAAGCCAATAACCGAGCGCGCGATCACATTAAATCCAACGGTTTACCCTACGTTCATTTCACAGCAGCGTTTCTTATTAACTTCACATTCGTAAAAATAATTTCCTTTTTTGTCCTATACATTTTACAATTACATGTAATCTTGAATATATTAAACCAATTAAAATATTTGCATATAAAATGAAAAATAATGCGTTTCCTAATAACTGAAATACGTAAATGTATTCCACCATATCTGTACTTCTTTTATTGCACACGTACATAAAAAGTATTAAAAAAAAGAATACAAAATAATGGAACACATGCACGCGCGCTTTTGTACAAAAATAACGCTATTATAATCTGCAATAAATGATAGACGTCAGTGACGTCAATGTCGGAAAAGGATTTTCGCGAATTTTTCGGGGACGTGAAAATATAAACTTCCTGAATCTTCCTCGCGCGTCTCGAAATCCAGCTTTTTCGGATGCAACGCGATACAAATGTATCTCGGTTGAAGTATCTCTCCCGTGACACAGAGGTGCAAAGCTTATCCGTTTCGGGCAGCTTTTGGTATTAATCTGACTGGGCATAAATCTCATGTTAATCCAGGTAACGCTATAACTCCGTAGCTGTAGCAACGCTTGCTGCAGCTGCTGTTGCAGCGGGAAATGCGGAACTTGTTGAATATACGTCGAATATATTCGGTAAGTCCGCAGTTACGGGGAAGTAACCAGAAGCACTAACGATTATGCCCCATTCACTTTTACAGCCGGTCGGTTCGATCGGCCCTAAGCGTTCCCTTTTAAGGGGAGAAATCGAGCAATTCGCGCGCTCTACGGCTAATTTACATTTTAATCGACCCGACTCTCTCGAGAGAGAGCGATATAATCGTGCCAATTCTTTGAAACAACTCGTAAAGTCGCTTCGCAAATTACGTCGGTCTTGCCTCGTGGAAAAAATCCGCAGATCGCGTTCCTAAATGGAAAAAAGGAAAACAGAGAACACTATTTTTCCCGCCCGGGAAAAATTATTCAATTATTCGCGCCGAATGATTTTATACATATTTAACCTGTTATCTCTCGAACTTTGTTAAAGCGTCGCGAACGAGACGGTAAAGATTTCATCGCATCCGACCTTCGTTGCTACGATACGCTGCGCTATTTTTAGCCGCAGCCTTTTTTCGATCTTGAATCACTACGCCTCTTCTGCATAAGGCGTAAGGAATAATTCAGACGCGACGGATTATTGCATTTATGGAGGCGGTCGGTTTTCGCGAAGGGAAACGAGGTCGGAACGGAGGAGTTGCAGAATTTTCCCGGAAATTTTACCGCGGCCATCTCCGTCGCACGTGACGATTGAATTTGCGCTCATGAGAACGTCGCCCGGCATTTGCGCAAACTGAGCGACTTAAAATTGCAGGAGCATTTCGTGACGTCGAGTGCTTCACGCGGAATGGATAAAAACAGAGGTTTATCTTCTCACCGTTCATTAATTCTCCCTTTACCAAGGGACGATGTCGAAAAGCGCGTTTTGACCGTACTCTCTAAAAGTGAATCAGTGTATTATC